GTTGTTCCAGAAAGATGGGGCACCGTGACACACTGCTAGAAATACCAAAAAGTGGCAGGAAGAAAATGGTATCCAGAAGTTGCCCTGGCCGAGCCAATCTCCTCACATGAACCCCATCGAAAACCTTTGGACCATATTCGACCGGCAAGTCAAGAAACAACCAAAACAGCAACTTCGAAGAGCGATCTACTCCAAGTTTTGAAGCAAGAGTGGACGAAAATCCCACAATCTAAAATTTACGAGATGATTTTCACGATGCCCCAAAGGATCAACAAACTCCACGAAGCGAAAGGAAGATCTACTAGATATTAATTAAATTATAAATATATCAATTCATGTGAATATGACTGAAAATTTTCATTTTTTCTGAAAAGGTGGGGTCTATTTACTTGTGACCACGCTGTGTATATATGACTGATCAGACCTCAACCACAAAAAGTCATAAAAAATAGCTGTTGATGAACATTTATTGTTATCTCTAAAAGTGCGCAGTGTCTTAGATGTCTTGAACAGGTTGAAAACCATCCATACAATGCAAATTAAGATCAGAAACGAACGAGTCTAAAAAAAGCACTACTTTAGAAGTTTCATTGAGTTTTTCGAAGCAAAAGATCGAACAGCAAACTCATGAAAAGTTTTATATGAGATACTGATCCATTGGATTTTTTCTTGCTCAAAGTTGCCACCAAAACATGTCAATTTCTGTACAATAAACTCACGATTTTAGGGTTAATATTTGGCTTATCATCTATAAACCTTAAACGAGAAAGTAAAATATTATATTATTACAGGATAGGTAGCTTACGGTATCAGTTAACTATAGTTTTGTAGATTACTCTTCCTGACATTATGAATTTCAAGGAAATGTGCCGCTATTCTGAGAAGTCTATCTTTTGTTTTTGATACGAGATTAGACATAATAGAATGAAAAAAGAAACAATGAAACTTCAACCAGTTTATAAATCTAACATTTCTCATGTAATATACATCTAATAAAAAACACCTTAGGTGTGAAAAAAGTGCGCCCCCCGAAAAAAAGTGTTCAGCGTATTAATTAATTAGTTAACCATGCCGCATTTTTCGTTCAACTTGTAGCAGGATGGTGGGTAAAATAAAATACGCGGACTGGCTAACTAACGAATGAATATTTGCTGTAAAAGTCTTATCAATACTATAAGTGTAGCTACCAGTTTGGCCGCCAATTTTGATTTGTTTCCTTTAAGTAGCATGCTCAGTCTTTTTTGGCCACACTCTTTTTTTTTTCACACCTAAGGTGTTTTTGATTAGATATCATGAGTTTTTTGTCAATACACACCAACAAACCACAACAAGTAAGAAAGTGACACTCGATAGTAACCAACATTAGTTTCAGGATCGCAACCCTACTATTCGTAATAGACCTATACTTTACAGAACCAACCAGATTCTTTAAAATATATGGTGGAAATTTTTCCTCTATAAAACAGCGTAAATAACTTCCTTTATAGTAACACCATGGAATCTAGATTAACAGTTTCTAGTCATCACTCGCATGCACTCGGTATAGCCGTATCAAGCATCATTATTTATGCTAATTGCTTAAGCTAATATCACGTGACGCTAAATGCTAACTGCTAATGATAAATTCATAAAAGTTAGTAAATTTGTACTGAATAGTTGGCAATGAATAATAATCACCCACCCGTATGATCCTTTTGAAAACTTGAGCTAGAAACTGCTAATCTAGTTTGTTTGGCCTAACCAATAGTCATGTATCTGCACGTCCTTTCACCTTATAGTTTTGCTGCGCTAAACCAGCAGTCTTTAATCCGAATGAAAAAAACTAAAAAAAGGGGGGCTAATCTTACTCTTAGGTGAAGCTGTAGTAAAAATGTTAGACCGATAGATCATGTGATTTTTTGCGTAGGCGTACGCAAAAAATATTGACCAAAATTGAGCGGTTTTGGAATAACTTTGTACGTGGGGCTTATATTTACACCAAATGAGACTCCTAATTGCAGGCTTTAAAGATCTATCAGTGTACCAACTTTGGAAA